ACTCACTCTGTAGATCAGGCTGGTCTCGAACTCACAGAGATCCGCCTGCCTCTGCCTCCCGAGTGCTGGGATTAAAGGCATGTGCCACCAACGCCCGGCTCAATATTCTATCTTTTTATAGTACAAAAAAAAATCATAAGCTGAGGGTTCATCTAATACTGAGTAGGATGAGGCAACCAAATCCTACACATGGATAACTACACAATAAGTTCATGTTCAGCTGTATATATTCATTCTTTTGTTTATTCCTCTTGGTTCATCTTTACTCTGTTTCCATGAGCCAGCTACACTCAGCACTGCTTGCCATCTCAAGGGCTGTCTGCAAGCAGTAGCAGTACCTACTACCTTTGTGGGCCTTCAGAGACAGCTCAGCAGTTGAGAGCACGGGCTGCCCTTCCAGAGGTCCTGAGTTCAATTCCCAGCAACTGCTTGGTGGTTCACAACCATTTATAATGAGATCTGGTGCCCTCCTCTGGCCTGTGGGCATACATGCAGACAGAACACTGCATACATAATAATTAATAAATAACTAACGTTTAAAAAAAAAAGACACTTTGACATCTGGCAACACTAGGGGTACTTGACAAGAGTCTTAAAAAATACATTTAGGCCGGGCGGTGGTGGCGCACGCCTTTAATCCCAGCACTCGGGAGGCAGAGGCAGGCGGATCTCTGTGAATTCGAGGCCAGCCTGGTCTACAGAGTGAGCTCCAGGACAGCCTCCAAAACAATACAGAGAAACCCTGTCTCGAAAAACCAAAAAAAAAAAAAAAAAAAAAAAAACCAGGCATGGTGGACCACACCTACAATCAGGCATGGTGGACCATGCCTATAACCCCAGTGCTATGGAGCAGGAGGATGTGAGACTCAAAATCACTCTCCCTGCAGCCCAGGGGTATACGAGGCCCTGTCTCGACAGACTAAGGGTACACTCTGACCAAATATGAACTCCCTTGGTTTGTAGTATGGACGCCAGGAAGATCGCCTTTGGAGCACAGCTTAGAGGCTAACGAAGCCATACGCAAATGCTGTTGCCCTCTAAGCCATCACTAAGTGTCCTTGGCTAGGACACGTTCCAGATCTTTCCTTGGGGCCAGTGTACCCAGCTCATGCTGCCTCTGTCTGGCCTTCCCCTTCACAACTTCCTTAAGTAACCAGACCCTCCAAATGTCAGTCCCTCAGAGTGCGACGTCACTGTCATTCTTGGGTCCCGGCATGCTAACACGCCTCGCTGTGGGACCCTTGGCTTAGCTTGCGGTCTCAGGAGAGAGTTCCCATTTCCAGCCCCTGGATGTACAGATTCGTTGTTTGCGGGCGCCAAAGCTGGAGGGGGACACCAGGGGACGAGTCTTTCACAGGAGACAAGTGTGAGGCCTGGAGTGGTGAAGGGGCTCTTGCTGAAGTCACACAGAAAACGGAGCCGGCCCTCTTGATGGCCAGCCTGCGCATGTGCCTTTTAGATTCAGTGACATGTTACTTGAGAGCTAAAGGTGCAGGCAGGCGGGGAAACATGGCAGTCCTGTCTGGCGGGCAGGCGATACACAACTCCCTGGGAGGTTTCGTCACGTGCAGGACAGCCTGAGTTTTCCCTTCACTCCTGCCCCTGGAAGTGCCGTGTCTCTGGAGAGATGCGTTGTTCTGGAGGCCAGAGGGTGCCCGCCAAATCATCATCTGAGCAGTTCCTGGGTGTCTTAACTCAGGAACCCAAGCACCCAGCACTGAAGCACCTTCTCCAGACGTTAGCATTCACAGACACACCCTGATGTTCTGGAACAATGCTTCGGCCCTTAGGAACCAGCTCCCCAAACTAAGCATCCTGAGACCTGGCCCCTCTCACCCGCATCCATCACTGAGCCCTCAGGCCCAGCCACCTTCCCCACGAGGGCATTCTCTTCCCCCCTTCCCCCCCTGCACAATTGGTCACAGCTGTAGGAGCTCAGAGGTTCCTCCACCCCCACAGTAATGGGAGCCAGCTGCCAGAGGGTTCTCCTTGGCCACCCTCCACAAATGCTGCCTCTCCTGCAACAGCCGGTGCCCGTGAGGCGCTCAGACTCTGCCCAGGGCTTCCTCCAAGAGCTTCTTCCCCTTAGCCTCCATCTCCCCTTTTTCCTTGGAGCACACGAAACCGCATCAGCGCTCACTCCAGTAACTGGGGAACGCTTGCAAGGTGTGCTCGGAGGCCTTCGTGTCTTCTCTGTCGCTTGAGTTAGAAAGAGCGGTCACTACCGCAGAATTCACAGAACCCAGCCTTCCCTTTCCCCGTTGCCCAGAACGGAGCTTTGTTTTAAGGTGGTGACTGGGCTGGAGAAAGAGGGCTGAGTCTCTCCACAGCTGCCTGCCTGAGAGCCCAGTGTTCCCTCCCTCCTGTGGGCTAACCAGCTGTTGATAACCAGACGTGGGGATGTTTGGCTCCAGGAGGAAAAGCAGCGACTTAAGACCCCAAGACCTCAGCACAAAGGAGATTTATTTGCCCCAGAGGGACAGAGGGCAGGGATAAGGGGCAAAAGCAGGAGACAGAGGGAGAGGGAGAAGGGGAGAGAAACAAGGGAGAGGTAGCAGGGGTCTTTGTCCCAGAGTGGGACAGGGGACCGCCTCTGGCTTAGAGAGGCAAAACATGTGGCCCAAAGGAGACTTTTGGTTGCTGGACCTCGTACTTGGATTGTTAGACCATGGTGGTGGTCAGCCTCAGGGGGAGGAAGTGGTCAAATAAGGTACAAGACCTGGGGGCTGGATTCAGGAGGGTAATCTAACGGTTTATAGCAGGGCTGGATTCAGGAGTGTAATCTAACGGTTTATAGCAAGCCTAGATTCAAGAGTTTAATCTAACGGCTTGTAGCAGGGCTAGATTCAGGAGTGTAATCTAACAGTTTGTAGCAGAGCTGGATTCAGGAGTGTAATCTAATGGTTTGTGGCAAGGCTAGATTCAGGAGTGTAATCTAACGGTTTGTAGCAGGGCTAGATTCAGGAGTGTAATCTAACGGTTTGTAGCAGAGCTGGATTCAGGAGTGTAATCTAACGGTTTGTGGTAAGCCTAGATTCAGGAGTTTAATCTAATGGTTTGTAGCAGGGCTGGATTCAGGAGTGTAATCGAGCAAAGGGAACGGCTTAGAATAGGGCAGGACCTGCCCGAGCGTGTGCTCCAATGGGCTAGTGTCCCTTCAGCTCGGCATTAAGCAGAGAAAATCCTGAACACTCCTTTCAAGAAATGGTTGAGTGGCAGTCCTTACCTACACGGCCAGCAGGCTACCCCGCTACATCCTCATCAGAACCGAATACAGGGTTGGGGTATAGCATGTGTGAATACAGGGTTGGGGTATAGCCTGCGTGAGGCCCTGATTTCTGTCCCCAACACAACGAGGAGTAAAGGAAGCTGAATACAGCTCTCCTTTCGCTGAGAGCATTCGAATTCAGAGTGACTTCCATCTTTCTTACCGCACCCCTCTTCACCTGTCCCGTGCACCTAGAGTCAGCACGGATTGGTGGTTTTTCCTAACCTTGGTCCAACTGTCTCCTCACCGTCCTGTCCGCCTGGTTTGCAGTCGGAGTGCTGGAGCAGCAGGAAGATGGCTGCTTTCTCCTGAGGGTGACTTCAGGAGAGGAATAGGCTGGATGGTGGCTGCGTTAATCCCAGCAATCAGGGGTGTCGGAGGCTGGTGGGTCTACAAAGCTGCACAGAGAAACTCTGTCTCAACAAAAACAAACAGGGCCGGGCTGTGGTGGCGCACGCCTTTAATCCCAGCACTTGGGAGGCAGAGGCAGGCGGATCTCTGTGAGTTCGAGGCCAGCCTGGTCTACAAGAGCTAGTTCCAGGCCTGGTCTCCAAAGCCACAGAGAAACCCTGTCTCGAAAAAAACCAAAAAAAAAAAAAAAATCAAAAAACAACAACAACAACAACAAAAAAAACCCAGGACAATTGGTCTTTTTTTCTAATTTGAGGAAAAGGACAGTCACTTTCTTTTTCTATGGCAATGACTGGGAAAACACACAGGCCTCCCTCCCCTTGGGCCTCTGTCTCTCTGTGTCTCCTCCGCCCCCCCCATCCACCCCCTCCCCTTCGCTCCCTGACTTCCACAGGATTGCCTTCTTGGGCTAATGATCCCTAACCTCCCTGGAGTTTACTGTAGACTTCTTAGGGCTCAATGTCTTTAGCTACAAACTTCCAGAGCAGGGAAGCCCCAGACCAGGTATGTCGTCCTAGAACTCTGGAAGGTGACACAGGGGGACCTCCAGTTTATGGTCAGCCTAAGCTGCACGGCAGGGCCCTGTTCCTCAAAATGAATCGCTTCCAGCCGGGTGTGGGGGTGTGTACCTGTAATCCCATCCCCACTCAGTCCAGAGAGGGGGAGCCTGAGGAGCAGGAGCTCAAAATCGTCCTCAGTAACATAGTAAATGTGAGACAGCCTAGGACCCTGAGACCTTTTAAAAAAAAAATAGGGTGAAGAATGAAGGCCCTGGGTTCGATCCTTTGTACTGGTGGGTTAACAAAGGACATCGTTACCTTGAGATTGCCTTGACATGCACGGGCTGTGGATTTGGTTGGTAGCTAGGGTGCTTGCCTAGGATTCGCAAGGCCCTGAACCTCATCGATCCCTAGAACCTCATAAACGGGGCAGGGGGAGAACACACACACACACACACACACACACACACACTATGATCCCGACGCTCAGACGGTAGTAGTTCAGGGTCATGCTGGATGACAGGTCACAGAGACCTGCCTGCCTCCGACTCCCATGTGCTGGCATTAAAGGCGTGCATGGTGGGCGGGTGCTCCTGCCATTGGAATCTCAGCGTGGTTGTGGTTTACATCTCTCTGACCGTTAGTGACACCGGACGCTTTTTTTTGTGTGTATGTGTTGGTGTGTTGGCTGTCTGTGGTCATGTGAGAGCTGTGTGTTTAACCAAGGCTTCTCTGGAGGAACCCCAGCCCCTGCTATGGAAGCCCCGCCCTGGCCCACACTGACCCGGCCTCTCCTGTCTGTCTGTCCGTCCCTCCCGCAGCACGCTGTCCACGTGCTGCCACGCCGTGGTGGCGCTCATCTACCCCTTCAGCTGGCAGCACACCTACATCCCCGTGCTGCCCCCTGCCATGATTGACATCGTGTGCTCCCCCACGCCCTTCCTCATCGGGCTGCTCTCCAGCTCGCTGCCGCTGCTCAGGGAGCTGCCACTGGAAGAGGTGAGCCCCGGATCCCTGCACCCCCCTCCTTCCCCCGGGGCCACAGAGAGAGGAGGGAGCGGCGCCTCCGGGGCTTGCGCTGTGACAGGTCCTTCCCGGGGCCTCCCACGGGTCAGCCCCCCTGGTGACTATACACACCGTTTTCCCCCTCGAAACGAAGTGGCCCCGTATAAAGCAGCCACTTGGGTGGCCTGGCATCAGACACAGCCCTATCCGCCCCATCCTCCTTCCTCCAGACCCCACTCCTCTCCTAGTCTCTTCTCTTGCCCCTCTGGAGAGCTGGCAGGTTCAGTGAACACCTCAGGGATGAAAGGGTGAACCCCAATGTGGAACGGGGCGGAGAAGTAGAAATTTAGAAAGTAGGGGGCCTCTGGCATCAGTAACCCATAGACAGACAAAAAGAAACAGAAAGAAGCTATGCCATAGTCAGAACAGGGCCAGGAATCCAGCTGCTGACAACATGTGTCCTAGCCTTCAGTACCAGTGTAGGACATTCCTAAGTCTGTCAGAGCGCGCGCGCGCGCGTGCACACACACGCACACACACACACAGACACACACTCACACACACACTCCGTCTTTCTCCCAGAAGCCCTGGTGACAATACTCATTCCCTTCCCTCTGTCCTGTAGGTTCTTGTGGTCGATCTCATCAATGATCGGTTCCTCAGACAGGTGAGTAGAACGCCAGCTCAGCCGGCTTCTCCTGTGCTCCCAAGTCTTCCGGGGGCTCGACTCCAGCTCCAGAAGGGCTCTAGCTCAGCTGTGACCTCCCACCCCCAGGCCAAGGCCAGCCCGGGATGAGGCAACAAAGAGGAAGGCTTCAGCAAAGACTGCTTTTCACCTGTACGGACACAAAAAGGCCAGTTAGTAGTCGGGACACGGGCTGGAGAGGGGGTTAGCAGCAAAGAGCTCATGCCGCTTGTGGGAACTTGTAAAGAACTCAAGCTCATTTCCCAGCACCCACGGCAGGCAGCTCACCTGGACAGCAGCTTCAGAGGGACCCAGCGTCTCTGGCCTCCTCCGGCACTGCGCTCACACGCACAGACTCACGCATGCACACGCATTTTCAGGTGGTCTTAAAAAAAATAAGTCTTAATTTTTAAAAAAGGCACAGGAGAGCTGACGCGGAGGTTAAGAGCACTTGCTGCTCTTCCAGAAGACCAGGGTTCAGTTCACACACACACACACACACACACACACACACACACACACATGCACGCACGCACGCACGCACACACACACATTCACGAATGAATCGGGACACGTCAGGCCTGGTGGTAACCTCCCTGTAATCCTAGCAGAGAGGAGGAGGCAGGAAGATGAAGACCCTGTCTCAGAAAACAAACAAAAGCCAGGTATGGCTTAGATATGTAATTCCAGCCCTTGGGAGGAGGGAGCAGGAGGATTGCCTTACATTTAAAGCCACCTGGGCCACACAGGAGATTGTGAGTTCAGAGCCCATACCACCCCCCCCCCAAAATCGTAAAGGAGTGAAGACCCAACATTTATGTACATTATTTTACTGATTTTTCTTCATTTCTTTTCTGCTTGTTTGTTTTGGTACTGGAGATGGTGTCCAGGTCTTGCACATGCTAGAGAAGAAACTCTACCAATGAATCATTCCTTCAACCTGATTCTATTTTTTTTCTTTAAAAAAAATAAAGTAAGGGAAAGACGAAATAAGTAGAAAGAAAATCATATGTCTGCATATCCTAAAAATATTGACAGGAAGCCAGGAGGTGGTGACACACACCTTTAGTCCCAGCACTCGGGAGGCAGAGACAGGCAGATCTCTGCATTCTAGGCCAGCCCGGTGGTTAAGAGCACTGGCTGATCTTCCAGAGGTAGAGTTCAATTCCCAGCAACCACATGGTGGCTCACAACCATCTACATGAGATCTGGCGCCCTCTTCTGACATGTCGGTGTACATACAGGCAGAACCCTGGGTACATAATAAATAAATAAATCCTCAAAAAATAATATTGACAGAAGCTGGGCATGGTAGCCCACACATTTAATCCCAGCACTTGGGAGGCAGAGACAGGTTGATCACTGTAAGTTCGAGGCCAGCCTGGTCTACATAGTAAGTTCCAGGTTAGTCAGAGCTATATAAAGAAAGACACTCTGTCTTCACAAAAACAGATTGACAGGAAAACCTACCAAGACATCAGGCATGTCTTGGGAGGAGGCTAAAAACAAACGGGATGGTTTTAAGGGTTTATAGACATGCATGACAGTGGTGGTGCTGGTGGTGGTGTTTTGGTGGTCGTTTGGTAGCGGTGATGGTTGTTGTTGCGGTGGTGTGGTGATGGTGGTGGCAGAGATTTTGTTGTTTAGACTTTGCCTTTTGAGCCAAGGTCTCACTCTGTAGCCCAGGCTTGCCTGGCCTGGGAATTAAGCTCCCACTTCCAGATTACTGGGATTACAGACCTCAGACATCATGCTCAGCACTTTGGTCTGATTCTGTGCTGGTCATAGTATTTTCCTTATAAGAGAAACTGATGCACATTTATTTTTGGCTGAGTATTATGTTACCCGCACCATCAGCTCAGTCTGCTGTCACTTCGAAGGCCCAGCTGCAAAGGCAGCCTCACCAGGCACCGATTACCCTCCCTAGCCAGGTCTCCCCATGAGTGCTGGCCTCCCTTCAGGGTAAGGGCGGTGGGAAAGATCTACAAGAACCCACGGAACCCCAGGCGTTTTCACAAGAGAACTGTACCAAGTGTAATCTGAGGCTGGTACTGATGGCCCATCTTACAGACGAAGGTTCTGAGGCTCTCACAGCTTGTACGAGCTAGAATGGAGATTTGAACCTCAAATCTCTGGCTCTAAGCACATCTCTTCCACTACTCTGGGAGCTGAGGGCAGGTAAGATGGCTTCGTGGGTAAAGGCTCCTGCCATAGAGACTGATGACCTGAGTTCCAGCTTAGAACCCACATGGAACAAGAAAACCACACATTCCTACACACATGCATACACGCATGCTCCCACTCACTCATAAAACAAATTATGCACACTCCCTTAACCCCAGCAACTGGGGAGGCAGAAGCCGGAGGATCTCTATGAGTCCTGGTCTACACAGTGAGTCCCAGGCTAGCCAGGGCTACACAGTGAGGCCTTCTTCTCTCTCTCTCTCTCTCTCTCTCTCTCTCTCTCTCTCTCTCTCTCTCTCTCTCTCTCTCTCTCTCTCTCTCTCTCTCTCTCCCTCTCCCTCTCTCTCTCTCTCCCTCTCCCTCTCCCTCTCCCTCTCCCTCTTTCTCTCTCGCACACACACACACACACAGTTTAAACTATGAGCTGAGCTGCCTACCCAGAGGCTCATGGCTAGCCAGATGTAGCTCTGCCCACCTGGGTCTCCTGCCTTACAGATGGAGGACGAGGATTCCATCCTGCCCCGGAAGCTTCAGGTAGCCCTGGAACACATTCTGGAACAGAGGAATGACCTGGCCTGTGACCAGGATGGAGGCCCGCTAGACTGTGTGCATGGTAAATGCCAGGACTTTGGAGCAGCTGGGTGCCTGAGTGAGAGCCTAGGGGCGTGAGGGGAGAAAGTGGGGCTCAGCCCTTCTCCTGGATTTCATTACAGCAGTAGCTGTAGGAATTTCTCCACTTAGGTTCTAAAATACTTCTGGGGGGGGAGTAACTTTTAAGTCCCCTTTCTCTTGGATGGTGACAGCTGGCTCCGGAGGGAAGTGGCTGTTGCTGTGATCAGTAACTGACTGTCTTGGGCTCTGGCCCGCCGGCTCTCCTTACTGTTTCGGCCTCTGTACCCCTTGCTCAGGCCCTGAGTCCAGCCCCTTGAACGAAGTGGTGTCGGAAGCCTTTGTCCGGTTCTTTGTGGAGATGGTGGGTCACTACTCCTTGTTCATGACATCAGGCGAGGAGAGGAGCCTGCAGCGAGAGGCTTTCCGCAAAGCCGTGTCCTCTAAGAGCCTGCGGCGGTTTCTGGAAGTCTTCATGGAGACCCAGACGTTCCGAGGCTTCATCCAGGAACGGGAACTACGCAGGCAGGACGCCAAAGGTGAGGACACCACGGGGCAGTGCGGGGCAGTGCGGGGACAGCCACCTGGGCTCTAAGTGGACCAAGAGTTGCAGGGAGGTCACAGACGGAGCTGCGGGCAGGCACAGTATTCTGGCCTCCGGACAGGGAGCGTGGCCCGCCTCTGCCCCTCCCAGGTTTCCTCTGTCCCTCCTGCTTCTCTGCGCTTCCCTCTCCTCTTTCCCAGACCCCTCTGCTCTTCCCATTTGCCCCTCTTCCTGCCCCCCTGCCCAGGGACCGTGGAGGGGATAAAGAATCAGGAGATCATGGCCTGGCTGGTGCCTGCGGCCTTGGGCTACCACTAAGCAATCCGGGCGTCCTCCTCAGTTATCACCCGCTGCTGCCCTTCTCCCTCTTCTCTGAATTCTCTCCTGCTCCCTCCTGTCCCTGTCTGCATAGGCTCCATAGGGAAAAAGGGAACAAGGAGCGGGAAATGAGGGAGACACCGGGTTGTCCTTTGTCTTGGCCGTTCTGGGAACCTAAAATCTAGGAATGATGGTAAATGCGGTTTTGATGGCAGCTAAACCTGGGAAGGGAAGGCGTTTACCCCTGCAGCACGGCTACACAGAAGGCCAGAAGGTTCCAGAAGAGCCCGCCCCGGCCCCGCCCCTGGCCCCTAGTGCTGTGAACACAGCTCAGAGTCCTGTGCCCCCACAGCCGTTTGCACACAAGAGACAGGCAGCCACACTCTGACGAGGGTTTCCACAGGACAAGAGAAAGGGGACTCCAGGGTTTGAAAGGACAGGCCTCACTCGAGGCCTCTCTTCAGAAGAGCTGCCGGTGTATGTTAGCCAGGTTCACAAGTTGCTGTTGGTAAGAGAGGTAGCAGGAGCCGGGGTGGTGATACAAGTCTTCAGTCCTAGAAGCTGGGAGGGAGGCAGAGGCAGGTGGATCTCTGTGAGTCTGAGACCAGCCTGGTCTACAGAGTGAGGTCCAGGACAGCTTAGGGCTACACAGAGACACCCTGCCTTGGAGGGCTGGGGGAGAGTATAGCAGGAATGAAATGGGATCTGGTGTGTGAGCGTGCTCGTGTGTGAGCGTGCATTCCAGCTTTCCACAGCTATTACACAAGGCGCCCCGCTTGTAGGGATAGTAAAACATAAACCTCAGGCTTGAAACCGTGTTCATAGGCACAGCTGCATCTCGGAAGCAAGACTTCCCTTTCCAGAGAGGGAGGGGTCTTGTGCAGAAGCGAAAAGGCAAGGATCTGATACATCCCGGGTACCTCTTGTCACCAGGTCTGTTTGAGGTCCGAGCCCAGGAGTACCTGGAAACCTTGCCCAGCGGAGAGCACAGCGGAGTCAATAAGTTCCTCAAGGGTCTGGGTAAGGCCTGGGTCTCTGTCAGCAGCCTCAGATCTAAACGGCGTCCCTAGACTCTCAGCCCCTTCAGTCCCCAGAGCCAGGGCCCCTCGGTGATACAGGAAGCTGGCACTAGGCTGACTGCCTCCCTGAATCTGTCCCTGGGCCCTCGGGTTGGGCATCCTTGCTGCAGTCTCCTCCGTTGGGAACCCAACAGAGGACGCTGGCCCGAGGCCAGACAAGGAGTGACACAGGAGGCGACTCCACCCAGCTTCCCAGTGCAGGAAGGTCCTAGTGGCACACGCCTTTATTCCCAGCACTCGGGAACGCAGAGGCAGGAGGATCTCTGTGAGTTCGAGACCAGCCTGGTCTACAGAGCAAGTTCCAGGACAGCCTCCAAAACAATACAGAGAAACCCTGTCTGGATAAACAAAAGAAGGTTCTTGTAAGGAAAAGAGAGCCTGGGCTTGGCAGCAGGGCATACCTGCACCCCCAGCACATGAGAGGGAGGCGATGACAGGGAAATGAGGAGTTCAGTCAGCAAGACGGCTCGGCAGGTAAAGACGCTTAACCTCAAGCCTGCCGACTGAGTCTAATTCCCAGAACCCGAATACAAGTGGAAGAGACAGCTGACTCCACACATACTTTCTTGTGTCCGCCCTTCCCCCTCTCTGCCTCCCTCCACCCCTCTCTCCCTCTTTCCCTCCCTCCCTCCTCCCTCCCTCCACCCCTCCTTCCCTCCCTCACAAGGTCTTCTCGCTTTCTTTTTTAGGCAACAAAATGAAGTTTCTCCATAAGAAATAACCCTCCTCTTGGCTCAAGGAGAACCTCTCCCAGGGGGACCATAGGCTTCTAACAGCGTTCTGCGAGGCCGTAGGCCGTCCCCACCTCCTCCCAGGGTGGGGCCTGTGAGCTGGGCAGGCGGCGGATGCTCAGGGCAGCCCTGGAAGGCACCTACCAACTCGCAACTGTTGCTACTGTGGTTGGGCTCTGGCATCTTCATATCTTAGATATTAAAAGAGAAGAAGGAGAAAGGTGTTTGGGTCTTCATTCTGTCTTGCTAGGGCTAAGAAGAGTCTCTCCCGCCCCCTCCCATCTTTTCTGGGTCAGCCTTTGACAGCTGCGGAGCCAGGAGAGGGAGGAGACAGGAAGAGTAGCTGCCATCGAAGTTATCTTAAAGAGATGCGGCTGCCAGCCACCCCGGTTCTTCCCGGCTGGTCTATGACGCCACCTGGTGGCAGAGACTGTGGCCTTCACTATTCTTGACTGGGGTTTTGTGGTTTTTTCCTTTGCCCCTTAGAAAGAAGTCACATAGAACTCTTCTTGCCCCAACAGCCCGTGGGCGTTTAGGGACACGTGCAACGAGAAAACCTTGTTAATTGTTAATAAAATGTTCTTAGGGACCTGAAATTTATATATCCTGTGGCCTAACCCCGCTGCGGTGACCCTATTCCTCCTAGCCAACATAGATGGGAGTGGCTGGTTCTCTTACAGAGAGGGAGGAGCCTGAGGAGGTCAGTCAGCTGACCTGTGGGGAACACTGGGAGTCTGCGAGAGCCCTGTGTGCAGCCCGGGAAGGTTCTCAGGCGGGCCGCGGGCTACCACCCCTCCACTGCCCGGTGGCTGCTCGGTGACCTGGCCTGGAGCGGGACAGGATTGACGGGGGTGTGGCTGAGACGCTCGGGGAAGCCAGAGTAAGAATGTGAGCTTGGGGCTCACACGAAGTGCCTCTGTTTAGTTAACTTCACTGAGGGCAATATTCTGTGTGTTTTTATATTGCCCATAAGTGACCACTTTTAGTATTTTGGAATATACATTCTTTTCTAACTTATTTTCTATTCTACTGTTTTACTTAAGAACTCCAAGTGAATGAATAAATAAGTAAATAAATATCTTTATCAGCATTCCTAGTGAGTGTATAACACTCTATTTTTATGAATGTCTTTGTACTTGGCAAAAACAAAAATAAACTTGGGGATACTTGCTAGACCATGTGTACAAAGAGACTTTTTTCAAATGTTCTTTATGACTAAAAGGGGAGACCCGCTGCATGGGTAAAGAAAAATAATGGGGGCAGAGAGGCGTCTCCTGGCGGGGGGAGGCTCTGCAGCCCGGCTGCCTGAGGTCAAGCTCTACAGGGCCACACAAAGGTGGAGACAGCTCCACAGAGTTGTCTTTAGACCTCCCCATGTGTGGGTTCCCAGACAGGGTTTCTCTGTGGCTTTGGAGGCTGTCCTGGAACTTGCTCTGTAGACCAGGCTGGCCTCGAACTCACAGAGATCCACCTGCCCCTACCTCCCGCATGCTGGGATTAAAGGCGTTTGCCGCCACTGCCCGGCACATATTATTTTTTAGAGCTTTAAAGGATTTGCGGGTTGTCTTTTAACATATTCCTAAAATAAGAATGAAAAAACGGCCCAGCCCATTGAAACTCTTACCACATCAAGGTGTCCTCCTGCCTCCGCGTGTGTAATTCCGTGTGCTTATGCACGCGTGCAAACACACAAATGAAGTTAAAAGCTTAAGTAGAGATGAGTATGTGTGCTACTGTGTTACACATATACTAAAATACGCCTGTAGGAAGTACCCATGCAGGCCATGAGAACACATAGAGTCCTATCGAGGGCACAAATGACAAGTGTTAGCTGTAACCTGGGCAACTCGTTTATTGGACTATGGTATGAGTGCCCCCTCCTGCTGTCCTCCGCCCACATACCCTCCCTCACACTTTCGTAAGTTTAAGGACAATCAACTAACATTACCCACAGCATGCAAAGCAGCAGACTAGACTAAGAACCAAGAAGAATTGGAGCAAAAATAATAATAATAATAAGAGCAGTAGCTTGGCAATGACTGTTCACAGTCTGGGGCTGATTCTGTGTTCCTGCATGTATGTTTGGACACGAGGGGGGGGATAATATTGTCTTGCTGGCCTTGAATTTGCCAAAATCCTGCCTGAACCTCCCCAGGACTAGGGTCCCAGGCATGCACCACCACACCTGACATGGGACAGACTATAGACAGACAGTGCTCTTAGTTGAGAAACAGTGCTGCCAGAATGCATGAAGTGGTACGTGATGTCAGAGGCCCCCATAGTATTTATATCTCGCCTCGTGAGGCTCTCACCCAAAACCATCCTATTACTCCTATTAAAAGCTATACATTGCTGGGTGTAGGTAGCGCACGCCTTTGATCTCAGCACTCGGGAGGCAGAGGCAGGTGGGTCTCTGTGAGTTTGAGACCAGCCTGGTCTACAAGAGCGAGTTCCAGGACAGCCTCCAAAGCCACAAAGAAACCCTGTCTCGAAAACCAAAAAAAAAAAAAAAAAGTTTCCTTTTTATTCGGGAGCTGGAAGTCCAAACAGTTACATGTAGGGGTGTGGGGAGGAGCTCAGCGAAAACTCAGCAGTTAAGAGCTCTGACTGCTCTTCCAAAGGACCTAGATTCAATTCCCAGCAACCACACGGTGGCTCACAATCATCTGCAATTCCAGTTCTAGGGGATTCAATGTCCATTTCCGGCCCCTGCTCTTACTTACCCTCACATCATGTACATACAAACACATATGTGAATAAGCAATAAAATAAAATCAAAACAAAGAAATGAGGTGGAGCTCAGTGTGGAGCCTAATGACCTGAGCTCAGTCTTCAGGCCCACATACTGGAAAGAGAAAACTGACTCCTCCAAATTTGTCCTCAGACTTCCACAAAACAGGCCACACACACACACACCACACACACACACAGAGACACCACACATGCACTATCCAAGCAAATAACAGCAACTACACATGCATACACAGGCACACGTACACGTTTTTAAAACAGGCGCTAGAGAGACGGCTCAGTTGAGCGCAGTTGCTGCCCTTGCTGAGAACCTGAGCTCATCTCCTGTTACCCAATCAGGAACTCACAGTTGACGATAACTTCAGCTCCAGGGGGCCTTGATGCCCTCTTCCGGGGCACTTGCGCGCATTCACATGGGCACACACACACACACACACGCGCTGCATGCATGCAGCATGCGCGCTTTAAATGTTTGAAAAAGGAGAAAATATATACAAACATAGAAACCAATAAAGGATGGCATTCCTTCTCAAAGGGAGAGGCCTCGTGGTTGCTGGGCAGCTTTTCCCTTCATCCCAGGTCCCCAGGTATCTGCATCATGTTAATCAAGCCATTGACCTTGTAGTGCCTGAATTCTAGGGGCCTGGGGAATGTGATGTCAGAGCAAAGGGGGTGCAGAGGCTGAGGGACGCTGGATACTATTGTGGCCTTTGACATTGTTTCCCTGAGCCCCAGGCCAGTACTCCTGCAGCCATGGCGTTCTCCTCTCCTGTTTCCTTATTTCATCTCAGTGAAAGCCACAGAACATACAATTAGCCATTTTTTTAGAAAGATTTATTATGTATACAGTCTTCTGCCTGCAGGCCAGCAGAGGGCACCAGATCTCATTCAAGATGGTTGTGAGCCACCATGTGGTTTCCCGGAATTGACCTCTGGAAGAATAGTCAGTGCTCTTAACCTCTGAGCCATCTCTCCAGCCCACAATTAGCCATTTTTTTTAAAAAAAGATTTCTTTATTATGTACACAGTGTTCTGCCTGCATGTACGCCTGCAAGCCAGAAGAGGGCACCAGATCTCGATACAGATGGTTGTGAGCCACCATGTGGTTGCTGGGACTTGAACTCTGAAAGAGCAACCAGTGCTCTTAACCTCTGAGCCATCTCTCCAGCCCCAAAATTTAGCCATTTTAAACAGACCACAATCTCTCCACCCTATCCTTTCCAACTTGGGCCTGGCAGGATGGCTCCCAGGAAGAAGGTTGGCGAGAAGAAGGGATGTTCTGCCGTCAGCGAGGTGGTGACCCCAGAACTCACCATCAGCATTCACAAAGCACACCCGTGGAGTGGGCTTCACGAATCCAGTCCCTAGGGCACTCAGGGAAACCTGGGAATTTTCCATGGAGGAGAAGGGGACTCCAGATGTGTGCTTTGATACAGGGCTGGATAACACCGTCTGGGCCAGAGGAATGAGGAATGTTCCACCCTGTACCCTGCGTGTGTTTGTCTAAAAAAACACAATGAGGATGAGGACTCACCAAACAAGCCCTGCACACTGGTGACACACGTGCCTGTCACCGCATTCAAAGTCTGCAGACGCTCAGTGTAGATGAGAACTAACTGCTGGATGTCAAATAAAGTTGGAGAACTGCCAAGAATAAGTGAATTAAGTAAACAATTCACGGGTATGCAGCATATTCATCCTGTGCGATTATAACCTCTCTTGTACTCCCAAATGTTTTCCTTCCCTCAAAACAGAGTGCACGTCCATTTTGCAGTGGTCCCTCCTAGGTAGACTTGGGTGGGGCCTCGCCAGGCCTGACTGGAGGCAAGAACAGGAAAAGACAAAAGCCAGGCAGTGAGCATGGCTAGTACTGCCACACCTGTCAAGGCCGATTAATTGTGTGCCACGGTCTCCAAGGGCCACACCTTGGCCTCACCCAAGCCCTAAGCGGAGTTCAGCTGTCAACTTCTGGCTACAGTTAAGTGGCCTGGTGCCAGCTTCTCTTACCTGCCCACTCTTTCTCTCCTTTTCCTAATCTACCCCAGCACAAGTTCCATGATAACAGCATTGAGTTCTACAACCAGAAGTCACAGTCACTGTCCTTCCCCAGCAGGGCTAATTCCCTTTATCCCCTGGGTAGAGCCTTGGCTAGCTGGCTCTCCTGGAGGAGAACACAGGTCCTCTGCAAATTCACACAGAGCTAGTCTACGCTTGAGCAAGGCACTGTGGGTGCAGAGGACCACGCTCACACGCGGGCTAAAAACCAAGAGAGCAGTAGGGATTGGCTACCATGTAACCAGGATGGCCGCTGCCCACCCAGTTCCTCAAGTTCCCCCTCGGAGTTCTGGAGCCAGGAGCTCTGGACTGAGGCAGCTCCCCTCCCTACCTCTCTGCCTCGTCAGCCTACGGGAAGACTCCAAGTGGGGCCAAAGATGGCATTACTGCCCTGCACGTGGGGGCGGCATTTGGTGGACTTATGGTACAGCTGTTGAGTCTCCTAGTGATGTTGAAAATAGGGTACCAAATTCAAGAAACTAGAAAAAGTGAGGCAGGTTTATTGTTGTTTTGATTTTTCTGTGGGTTATTATTTCATTTTGTTTGAGACAGGCCCTCACTATGAATCCCTAACCCTAACTGGCCTGGAACTCACCAGCAGTCTAGTCTCAATGCCATAGGATCGCCCTGCCTCTCCCTCAGGAGTGCTTCGATTAAAGGCATGTGTCACGCCCACCAGGAAACAGTTTTGCAGAAAGGGATGCCAGTGAAGAGAAAAGCCAAAAATGATCGGAGTAATAATGGTTTGGCAGAAGACACTGTCCTAGGTCCTAGGATGGGGAGAAATTCGTCTCCTCTTCTACAGGCTGGGGCTTCCACATTCCAAACTCTCCATCTCGTTTGCCTAGGAAACAAAACCTCATCCAGTGAACAACTTGAGACTAGAGACTGCCCCTGAAGAACCATCCTGCCTCCATCTTAGGTTTAAAAGTGACCTAATTAAAGTGTTATTTCATCTTTTGTATAAAATTGTTAGTCTATCATAGAAATAACAGAGAGAAACCAGAATCTTTCTTCAGCACCTTTTGGGCAAACTGTAAATAAATGGATTTTCTTTATCGATATTCCCTGATCTATTTTAAGATGCTTAAGACTTATGAATAGGGATTGAAGAGATGATTCAATGGGTAAGAGATGCATTGCTCTTCTATAGGACTGAAGTTCAATTCCCATGTCAGGTGGCCCAGTTGCCTGTAAAAACAGCCCCAGAAGATCCAACATGCGTTTTTTTTTGGATTTCGACTGTTCCTGTGTATGAGCAGGGCTTTAGCTGTTCAGTTTTATGATATGGAGACTCCCTGGTAAAGTCTCCCAGTGCAGACCTTGGTTTCTTTGGTGTTCTTGCTGCTCATCTGTCAGAGGAGGTACATTTGAAAAGCTCGTTCTGAAGGCTTGGCTAAGCCATTCACTGAACCATAGTGGTCCTGTGATGGGAAGGCTTGGGTTTACTTGGCAGAGTGCTCATTTTCTGTGCTCTCTACATGACTTGCCTTGGCATCATCTTTATGGCATAGGCCAGGATCTAAGCTCAGAGGGCACTTGCTGGTGGAGGATTAAGCCAGGAACACATGGTTAGAAACAGAAACTGAGGCGTCTAGAGAGACAGAATGGCAGCAAACCAGGAACAAGCTTGCAAGTTAATGGCAGACAAAACCGGTAAAATATACCTTGCAGGTTAAAGTTCTGTTTGCACTTAAGACAGTTAAGAGTGAGTTCCTGTTCGTTCTGTGTTTGTTTGACCTATCTTCACCCGATGTGTTTGGTCACACGTGGGAGGGAAATATGTCAGGATGTATGCCTGCCCCTGGTTGGACCTGGTGTGAAATACAGTGGCCTTATGACCCTTGGCAAAATGCCATTTCCCAGGAACCCTAAAATGGTCATCATCCTGGGCGGTGTTTAATTAAAGCTTGCTTCAAAGTTGGCTCAAAAATTGTTGGAGCAGTCTTTCTCTCACAATCCTCGAGTGAAGGTCAAGTACTGCTTTTGCAGAGGAACCCAGTTCAGATTCCAGCACCACCTCTCACTCCAGCTCCAAGAAATCTGACCTTTCGGGCCTCTGAGGACACCAGCCCTCAATGCACAGACCCACACACAGACAGACGCACATGCACATCATTAAAAACATGAAAAGAGATAGTCTTTAAAGAAGAAGAAATACAGGGAGCCAGCAACATGGGTCAGTGGCTACAGGCTCCATCTCTGGGATCCACACAGTGGAAAGTGTGACCTGACTCCCGAAAGTTAACCTCCACATGGACATGTGACACACATACAAAATAAATGTCTCAAGCCTCATCACCTTCGTCTGCATAATACCTGCCTCTCCCACCTCGTATGGCTTGGATTTCTCTTGAGCATGCTCTCTTTGTTGTGTGTAGCCTGGGTAGGGACGGGCTTCCAGTCTTACTAAGCCAGCTAGCTTCTTTCATGTTAATTTCTATGTCCCTGATCTCCTACTACATTTAGATTCTCATGTTTGATTGTGACGCTGTCTGGACTCATCTTGAGTAACAGTGACTTCTGCTATCTGGGGCTTAGATATCTTTTGTGGTATTGCCTTTGTAACGGGAGGAAGATTGAGGTTCTTGGTTATGGCGTGATGGTACACACCAGTGACCCAAGCATTTGGGAGGTGGAGGAAGGAGGGGCAAGAGTTCAAAGCCACCCTCAGCCCCATAATGAGTTCAAGGTCAGCCTGAGCCGAGACCTTTTCTCACATAAGCAAGCAAACATTTTTGGCTTACATTTAAATTTGAGTAAATTGTTGAGAGATTCCTTCTCCTGTTTGTGTAGACTATGAGGAACAGTAATGACGAGGTATAGTAGTGTGCGCCTTTAATCCCAGCACTGGAGAGGCAGAGGCAGGCAGATGCTGAAGCAAGCCTGGTCCACAGAGCAAGTTTCAGAACAGCTGGGCCTACACAGAGAAACCCTGTCTCAGGAAAGAGAAAGGAAAGGAGGGAGGGAGGAGGAAGGCAGGGAGAGGGAGGGAGGGAGGAAGTGATGGTAGGATAATAGGTTACCATGGAGGCACTAGGAGAGAATTCCTACTGTCTGGATGCTCTGTGAATTAAAGTAGTTCCTTTTGTTGTTTCTCTTTTGGAGCTAGAGAAATGATGGCTCTGTGGTTAAAAGTTCATATTGCAGCCGGGCAGTGGTGGCACACGCCTTTAATCCCAGCACTCGAGAGGCAGAGGCAAGTGGATCTCTGTGAGTTCGAGACCAGCCTGGTTTACAAGAGCAAGTTCCAGGCCAGACTCCAAAGCCACAGAGAAACCCTGTCTCGGGAGCCCCCCCTCAAAAACAAAGAGTTCATACTGCTCTTTGGCTGAACCCAAATTCAGCTCCCAGCACTCTTATCAGGCAGCTCATAACTGCCTGTAACTCCAGCTCCAGGGAAATCCAGCATCTCTGGACTGTGAGCACCAGCATTCATTCATACATAACTCTTACACACACACATGTGTGTGCCAATGCCACATACATGCAGGTTCCCACAGATGCCAGAAGGGGACATTGGATCCTCTGGAGCTGCAGTTACATGCAGCTGCCTCATGGGGGTGCTAGGAACTGAACTAGGGCCCTCTACAAGACCAGCAAGTGCTTTTGACCACTAAGCCATTTCTCCAGCTGCTGTAGCTCTTTTCTTAGGCCTCATTTTAAGGCAGGGGACAGGGGAACTCAGGGGCCACTCCCAGAAAGTCCCTGACAATCTAAAGAAATTCTGGCAAGCTCAGCTGCAGACGCTCTGGGGGTCAAAGCTCTCTGCTTGCAGGACTGTGTGGACCAAAGTCTCCCCGGTTGATGGCCTTCAGATAACTATATCGGTTTATGACAGCGTTCCAGAGCCAGGCAGTAATCAGTCACCTTGTGTACCAGGAAGAAGTCTCCCTTTCCACTTCTCCTCCCTGTTGTTTTCTGTGCTGTGTGACAACTTAAAAGCTCACAGTATTTGCCATCTATAACTCATTCTGTAGACCAGGCTGGCCTCCAACTCACAGAGATCCGCCTGCCTCTGCCTCCCAAGTGCTGGGATTAAAGACGTGCGCCACCAACGCCCGGCTGTCTGTGTCTGTTTTAAAGCATCTTTTTTTTTTTAATTATTACATATACAGTGTTCTGCCTACATGCCAGAAGAGGACACCAGATTGAATTGTAGATGGTTGTGAGCCACCATGTGGTTGCTGGGAATTGAACTCAGGACCCCTGGAAGAGCTGTCAGTGCTCTTAACCTCTGAGCCACCTCTCCAGCCCCTGTCTGTGTCTGTTTTAACTGACCTGATGGAGGCCGAAGAAAATATGATGGATGAAGAAACAATCTTTGTACATTTATACATTCGAGGGACCCCAGGACTCCAAAGAGACGAGATAAATGCTTCCCAAGCCTACCTTGACTGACTGTAGGTGCCTAGAATCTGGTTTTATTTTTTAATGTTTATTTTATTTATGTGTGTGCTGGAAGGAGGTCCAGAGGCCAGAAGCGGGATGTCAGAACTCTAGGAGCTGGAATTTCAGACTCGTGGGTCTCCCAGTGTAGGTGGTTCTACCTGGGTTCCAGTCCTCTCAAAGAGCAGTGTCTTTTTAACTGCTGAGCCATTGCTCTTAGCCCCTAGGAACTAGGCTCTTAAAGGGGTTTTGGAGATGCTTGCCTCTCCGAATACGGTCTCACAGGCAATCATGTTAGAACATACTGTTGTTACATGTCTAAAGTTTACCAGTAGCGAGTCCCATGTGGAGTTTATCGGTAGACAGGAAAGGAAGGGGGCGTGAGCGGGAACCAACCCCGGGCAGAGCGGAGAGAATGAGGTAAGAGAGGAGAGGAGGGAGCGTAAGTGGGCGGGGTCTGCCCTTTAAAGGGGTCCTTTGCACCTGCGTGCAGACTGGTTCTCATGGAACCCTGGGCTGACCAGAGTGCTGCCTGAGTGCATTCTGCCAGGTAACATGCTCTGGCCAGCAAGGCACAACGGGACTCGAGTCCACGGGAACCTGGGAACCTGGAATGAATGAGATAAGCGACACGAGAGAGATGGGCAGCAGGACAGCATGGCTGATCGAGCTGCGTTTAATGAGGTTTAAATGGGGGAAATGAGGTAAGGGGATGGGGCAGAGGGATGCAGGGCAGTGAGGGAGGGGTCGTTGCCTAGTAACCAGGCCACTGAAGGTGAGCAGGTAACAGGTGTTGGCAAGGTTAAAGGGTCGCAGAGGGAGGGTTTAAGTGATCTCATTGTGGAATGTTTCCTTCTTGCCATGGGCTATTTCCTGTGAGTCCAAGTTCTATTCATCAGGAAGCTGGGGAGGGGATGGACTATTCTTGAAAAATACTGACAGTATTTACAAGAGGTTCTAAATAACAATGATCGCTCCCGACATCATATGAGTGCAGGTGTCTGAGGGAGCCAGAAGAGGGCCTCAGATTCCTTGGAACTGGATTACAGGTGGTGACAAACGGCTTGCTATGTAGATGGTTAGGAACAAAACCCACAGCTTCTGTAAAAGCAGCCAGGACTCTGAACCACTGAGCCATCTCTGATCCCTCTGCTGTTGATATTTCTTTCAGTAGTTTACACACCAAGTACAGCATAAGACTCCAGGATCCCCAAGAGTAAGGTCAGAAATCTGAAGGAAATTGTAGCTACCTTGGAGGGAGGGGAGACACTCTAAAGAGAAACATTCACGTCCCCTCCCTCTGCTCTCAGAATTCAAACAATGATCCTTTCAGAATTGACAGTTCCCAGGAAAGCCTACTGGGGGCGGGAAAGGCTACAACCCTGGCTGTTGTTTCGCTATTTCCTTCAAATGGAACCTTTCCCTCCTGGAGAGGGAAGTACACTAAACTCACAAACCTCCAGAAGTTCCTGAAGCTTACAGGTCTCAAGCTCCCCTCTCCTCTGTCAGGTTGCGGAAGCAGTAACAACTGCAGACAAGAAGAGACTTTCCAGCTAGCTGAGCAGCCTACAAGCCACACAGAGAGCTCCGGGACTGCAGCCTTTGTGAGTCATTAGCATGCTGGGGTGGGATCCCTTTCAGTCATCGATGGTCATAGGTAACCCTTCACCCACACCCCTGTAAGAAAGCCTTCAACCAGCCTGGCATTGGTAGCACACGCCTTTAATCCCAGCACTCGGGAGGCAGAGGCAGGCGGATCTCTGTGAGTTCGAGGCCAGCCTGGTCTACAGAGTGAGTTCCAGGACAGCCTCGAAAACAATACAGAGAAACCCTGTCTCGAAAAACCAAAAAAGAGAGAGGCCATCAAACTCCTTTGTCTAGGGATTTGTTCTAGGGTCATATTGGAAACTGAGGAAAAGGCTCTCGAGATTGGTTAATTCTCTGTGCCATCATAGGCTCAGCCAACAGAGGGCCCAGTCACCCTGTGCTTGTCCCCTGGCTCACCCAGGGAAGTGCCTGTGCTCTGTCCTGGTGCTGACCACCCAGCTAGGGTGACTGAAGCCTCTGCCTCCCGAGGGCTGGAATTAAAGGCGTCATGTGCCACCATCGCCTGATTTTCAGTTTCCTTTGTAACAATTAGTTAAAAATTTAATTATTTTTATGCTCCTCATTGGTGTTTTGCCATGGGCGTCTGTTGCTGGCCTGACGGTCTGGCAGCTGTTCCTCTCTGCAGGTGTTGATTACACGCTGTTCTCACAGCTATCAAGGGGCCACATTTATTCTACTTTCCGGAACTGGGTGGGGACGTCTTGTTAAAGGCCAGTCTTATGGAACAGGCATGGCGGAAATAAAGACAGTCTTTTGAAGCAGTTTCTCTGTGTAGCCCCGGCTGTCCTGGAACTTGACTTGCAGATCAGGCTGGCCTTGAACTCAGAGATCCACCTGCTTCTGGGCACCTGCCACGACCTGAGAATGAAGACTTCCTGTCAGACTGTTGAAACAATGGATCCCAAAGAAATGGAATCTCCCCAGGAATCTCATGCTGAGGGAAGGGAAAGGCACCAGCCTGAGGGGGAGGTTGTCTCCCAGAGAGGTTGCTCACAGCTCTAAAACCTTGTCCAACCACCTTACAGGATGAGCTTTGACAGGGACTGTGCACATCTTTGGATCTTAACTCTGACCTCACTCCAGGACACTAATTATGGACTTGGGCGGTTTCCTGGATCTCACAATTTTCAATGACCAATTGAAGCTGAATAAAGCCCATGTTAGAGCTTTGTACTTGCTGTGAAGCCCTGGCTGGTCTAGAACTCACTATGTAAATCAGGCTGGCCTCAAACGAAAGAGATCCACCCGCCCCTGCGTCCCAATGCTGTATTTCCACATTAAAGGCATGCACCACATCGGGTCCCTAACTTCTTTAAGAATGTGACAGGTTTGTGAACCTACGTCTCAGGACTGAAAACAGTCCTCAGCTCCAGCCCCTGTTAACTGAAGTTCCCAGCTTGGGAAATGGAGGAAGTTGCATCTGCTTCTGGGATTTCCGTGGTTGTAGTGACCCGGGATGTTACAGATCTGGAACCAAATTATCTTGGACTATCTTTAGCTTCTTTTTGTTGTTGTTGTTTTGTTTTGGAGACAGGGTTTCTCTGTGTAGCTTTGGAGCCTGTCCTGAAACTAGCTCTTGTAGATCAGGCTAGTTTCTCTCTCTCTCTCTCTCTCTCTCTCTCTCTCTCTCTCTCTCTCTCTCTCTCTCTCTCTCTCTCACTCAGAGAGCTGTGCCTGGCTGAATGCGGTATCTTTACAAAGCTGGGTTTCTATTTTGGAATAAATTTCTGTGTCTTAAATCTGATATAACCTGCAAAACATGTGACCCCATTACATGATGTATATCCTTGTCTTCCTCTTTCATTGTATTTTTCTAACAATTCTCTTGCCCCAGCACACACTACAGCTGTTAATCTTTTACCTCTCTCCCATAAAAGGGACCTGAAGAGGCCAGGAGGAGGGACTGCTTCCTAAAATCCTGATCTAGGGTGATTCAGCTGACGAGCCCGTCCTGGGTGCACCTCTGAAATAAAGCTTGCACCAATTAGACAAGTGTGGAACTGGTTTTTCCCGCTCCAACTTTTTGGGGTTTAACACCTACCTGCACCCACAGTGTGGCTCACAACCGCCCATAACTCCAGTTCCAAGGGATCCAATGCCCCTTCTGACAAAAAGTGCATACACATACAGTAAAAATAAACACATCTGCTAAAAAACATTGCAGGTACCTTGTTTATGGCGTGTATGTGTGTGTGAGCAGCATGCCAGTCACCAGGGGTCTCTGGATCAGGTGTTAGGACCCTCCCCCCACCATTTCCTTTTCCTGTGGAGGCAGAGCCTCTTGTCAGAGAAGAAAGGCTCTCATCTGCATTCACCCCCCCTTTACTGATGTAGATCCATGTAAATTTCTCTCTGCGAAAGTTTTCACAGCCATTCCTGCCTCAGTCTGATGCTTTGGTTAACCCTTTCCATTCAAAATGTGTCAGAGGAGCAAATGAATTTACACCGTCTTTCTGTGTGCCGCAATGACAACCATGTGACTTCACTCCACGACCCTGAACTATAGATCTAAAAATGCTATGCAGTTTGTACTCCCCACAAGGGAACCCTGTGACGGACTATATAGCTTTTTTTTTTTATTGGTTTATCTTATTAATTTTTTGTTTTTGTCTTTTGAGACAAGGTTTCTCTGTGTAGCTTTGGGACCTGTCCTGGAACTCGCTCTGTAGACCAGGCTGGCCTCGAACTCACAGAGATCAGCCTGCCTCTGCCTCCCTAGTGCTGGGATTATGGGCGTGAGACACCATACCAGGTTTATTTTTGTGTGTGTGTTCAGAAGTCAGAGACCAACTTAAGGAGTTCTTCATAACACCACATGGGGCCTGGGGACTGAACAGAGGTCATCAAGCTTCATGGCTAGGGTGTTTAATCTTCCAGTCACCTCACCAGCCCACATCAATATTCTTGTTCTGCAGTTAGGGTCAGAGTCTGAGCGCTGGCAGTCCTAACATGCTAGGTTCAGGTACCCTTCAGCTATTGGTCAGCTCAAGTAATTGAGTGCTGAAGGGCAGAGAAAGGAGACTTGATCAATATGGACACACAGGAGCGAGTAGAAGAAACAGCCTTCTGTGGCTGTCCCCACCCATGAAGGGATCAGGACATCAGTTGCCTTGTGGTTTAAGTAAAGGGTAAAAGGTAAGCGTAAGCGTCTGGGCGTGGTTCCCCCACATTGTCTCAGCTTGTCTTTCCGAAGATGTTCTAACTAATTGTCAATTTGTGTGAGATCTCCTTCCGATCGGCAGGCTGGCTTCAGCCTTTTCCTTTCCCCAGCTGAGGTTCCTGTAGCTTGAGGTCCACGTGGCGTAGTCCAATAGCCAAAGGGAGGACACAAGCATCTGTTTAGAATAAATCCATTCTAGCCAGGCTGGCTACACTCTGTGCAATGATCTGAACCTGGATTTTTTAATTAATTAAATTTTTTATTTTATGCGTATGACTGCTTTGCCTGCATGTACGTCTGTTTATCACAAACAGAGGTCAGAAGAGGACATTGGACCCCCTGGAGCTGAAGTTACAGATGGTTTGTGAGCCACCACGCTGGGGGCTCTCTGGAAGAGTAGTTAGTGCTCATAACGGCTGAACCATTTCTCAGCCCCCTTACTTAGCCTTACATTCTTCCATACGTGTGTTTCTGCAGGGCAAATGGCAGCTTCTTCCTCTCTGCAATTTTTCTCATGAGACTTAGTTTTAAGGACTAGGCCTGGAAATCAAACCTGTGAGGTACAGGGATGACCAATGCAGATTTGAGGCAATGGTGTTCCTAGCGCCCCGCGTGGTCTCTCTGGCTCCTCCCCCTCCTGGAAGTCTCTCCCATGCAGCGCAGGACTCAGTCCCCCCTGGAGCAGTATAGCTGCCATCAGCAGCTGCTGGGAAACTGCCTGTGTCCATAAATGTCTGCAGGGCAGTCCCACCGCGCCCGCCCAAGTCCGGGCAGAAGCATCGAGATTAGGAACCGTGGGTGGAGGCTGGTGTCTGGGGAGGCATATTGGGACCGGAAGCTCCTTCTGTATTGTGTGCTCAAATGGCCTTCACCTCATGACTTCACAGCCTAATTTAGGTAAAGCCTCTAATGCCAAGCTCTGGGACACCCAAGTGAGGCCCAACTTGCCCCCGGCTGTTCCTGCCTCCTAACCTAGGCCCTTCAGAACAGGGAGACCCCTCTCTCGTGTGCAAGTGCCGGTGCGAAGCACCCATTATTCCGCTCTCCCTCCAGAGACTCCAGCTAGTCCTCCCCTCTGAGACGATTACTTCTGTTCTGGGGCGGGGCTTCCCGGCATGGATAATTGCCTCTATTTGGGCATAGATGCATGCCACAAACCTGTTTCTCAGCCAGTCCTCTTATTTCCAGAATTCAACCCGACTACAGAAAAAAAGGTTAAGGAGGTAAACACTATGTCAGAGAGGGACAGAACAGACCTCGGTGGGCTGGGGTGGTGGCTTGCACACAGGCAGGAGGACCTGAGTTGGAACCTGACACTCATGAAAAACGACAATTGTGCCCACGCTTGTGTTGGGATGAGACAGGAGTCTACTGAAATGGTGAGCTCAAGATTCTGGAAATGAGGAGAGGGTAAATCTTTTTTGTCCCCCAGTGGTATAGTAGTGGTAAATTGCCCAAGATCTATCCATGCTCATGCAAGAGGGCAAAATTCAGTGGGTTTTTTTTTTTTTTTTTTTTGGTTTTTGAGACAGGGTTTCTCTGTGGTCAGTGGGTTTTTATACGTGTGTATGTACTTGTACTTTATATACTAAATGGAGGTGGAGACGTCACTCAGGGGTTAAGAGGCAGAGGCAGGCGGATCTCTGTGAGTTCGGGACCAGCCTGGTCTACAAGAGCTAGTTCCAGGGTAGCCTCAAAAGTCACAGAGAAACCCTGCCTTTTGAAACCCTCCATGTGAGTTCGAGGCCAGCCTGGTTTACAGAGTGAGTTCCAGGACAGCCTCCAAAACAATACAGAGAAACCCTGTCTTGTAAAAACCAAAAAAAAAAAAAAAAA